AATAATAATTAATAATAATAATAATAATAATAATAATAATAATAATAATAATAATAATAATAATAATAATAATTAATAATAATAATAATAATAATAATAATAATAATAATAATAATAATAATAATAATAGTAATAGTAGTAGTAATAATAATAATAATAATAATAATAATAATAATAAATTAATAAATAATAACAATAATAATAATGACAATAATCATATTGTGTCGATTGTTGATTATTTATTCTTGAAATATGAATTAAATGGAAAGCAATTTCAGAAAAGACTGTATGCATCAATAAAAGACAATGTAAAAATTTAAAATTAGATCATCACTTTGTTATTTGAATTTCGAAAAATTTGTGAATTGAATTATTCAGATATAAATTAAAACTAAAATAGGAAAAAGAAATCACAATCGCATACATTTACAAAAGATATCAAACTGTTACCTTGGCAATGTGTTCCATTTCCCTTATAACCCGGTTTACACTTGCACTGATAAGATGGAATATCATTATCATCAGGTAGATCGATGCAAACTGCATGCCATGAACAGTTATCTTCACCAGTAGCACATTGGTTTGTTGAGTAACATTGACTTGCTTGTGTTGCGCCTAAATTAAGTATTAAATTCGTTTAGAAATGAAATAAACATCTAACTGTTAACAATGGCATTGTATTTCATTGAAAATAGCAAATTGAAAAGAAAAATTATACAATTTACGGCATGCATTTTAATGATTCCTTAAGAATTTTAAAATATATGATTTAATTTTATATAAAAGAAAAAATCAGTTATTTCTTTGCTTTTTTTAATTACCCTGAGCGGCAGTGGTATGATCAGGAGGACAAAGTTTGCAGACAGTTTGGATTTCTTCATCCTGGAATGTTCCTCGAGGACAGAATTGACATTGTTTGCTAAAATAGACAATACATTCATTGTTCATGTAATTAAATACTAAAATTTAGTTTTGAAATCAGTTTCCCTTCCAAAATTACAATATACTTCCTTTTCATATTCCTAAGTAACATTTAAAAAACTGATTTTTGAAGCGTATCAATTTTTAGTAATTTTATGTCATTTCCCATGCAAAAACTATCCATTCCTTCCTTACGACTCTAACGTTCAATTAATTTTGTTGAATATTACTGAATAATTTATTGTAAAAAATGGCTAACGTGGTAGTGACAAGAAACTGTCCCGCGGAACATTTTGGCGTATTGCATTGCATACGACGAACAGATGCAGTTCCTTCGGTAGTGGTACCCGGTGGACAATCGACACAACTTTTGTGGACACCACGTGTACGATAGGTTCCTTGTGGACATGGTAGACAGATACCAACTTGTGTTAAATGCTCACCATCTAAATATTGGAAATCCAACAGAAAAAAATTTACTTCGATATTTGTTCAACACTAATCCTACTTTTTTAAAGGAAAGGCTTAAAATTTAATTTAAATTCACTAAAATATTAGCAATCATAGGCAATCAATACAAATTAATCCAAGAAATTTAGAAAAAGGAAAAAAGAACAGAAAAAAGTAAGACAGAGTAAATAAGGTCTAAAATATTCCAAAATATTACTGCTAGTTATATTTTAGAAAATCAGATTTAAATCGAATAGCATCATAGTAAAGTTCGAAAACTTTATTTATTAAAACTCAAAAGCTTCTGAACTGTTTTATTTCTTCGTTATGTAAATTTTCAATTTTCTTCAACAAGGTTTACAAAACTTACCGGGACATTCATCACGACATTCATCTTCAGCTGTTGATGTTTCTTTCAGTGTTGTTTTTCCAACGCCACAAGGAATACAACTAAAAGCTCCCGATGTTGGTTGATAAAAGCCAAAACCACACGGTTCACAGGAACCACTACTAATATTGAACATTGAACCAGCTTCGCATGCATCTTCAAACTTATTCATTAATGACTTCTTTTAATAATCACATATTCATTTTTGTTGTCTAATATAAACAAATTAATCATTTGTTGTTGAAAATTAACAAATTTATCCATTTAATCACTTATCAAATTTATTTACTGCTCCATCAATATAGCAACTAAATAAACTACCAATATTGCTTACTGCTATTTTTTAATCAATTTCTTTCAAATTATTGTTGTTATTGTAATTAAAATAGAACAAATATTAGTAGTTTGCTGATAATACCATAATAGTTTACTGATAATTTATACACTTTTCAGTTAATAGTTACAATCGAAAATTTGTAAAATCGCTATGTTTCGTTTAAATTGCACAAATAAAAAAGACCAATTTATCCCTTAATTTATAATTTAAAATCATACTTTTACAATCTGTTAAAAGTGCTGAACCAGGAGCAGTTGTAATATGTCCTCGAGGACATGGTAAGCAAGTGTTCTGTGCTGCACGAGGTTGATATTCATCTGTCATGCATAATTTGCAAGTGCGTGTTGTCGAATCATAAAATGAGCCCGGTGCACAAGGTACTATAAATTGAAATATTGAAAGATTAAAATCAAACTTTTTAAAATTTATAAAAACAAAGTTAATATTTCGCAAAATTTCAAATCTCTTTATAGTTGACGAAATGTTCGGTGTAAAAGAAATTCAAGAAGAGCTTATTTCACAAAACAATTAATATCTGCTAATTATCAGATTAAATGTTCGAAATATATCACTACTTACCGCATAGATTACGGACATTAACAGTTCCCACTTCACATATATATCGTTCTTTCAACTCGAAACTATTCAAATCCGGTCGACCGTTAGGAATCACCTAAAAGATGATTTGGAGCTAATATTTTATAAATAAAGCAGTATTGTAAGCTGTATTCTCCAAAATTATCACAAAATATCATTGTGCTTAGCAGGATTGTTTGCTTACAGAAATTTCCAGACTATTCTTACACTGGGCAAATCAAGCATATTTTCGCAATCAAACAACAATTCATCTGCCAGTTAAGTAATTTCTGATTCCACAAATAATTACCTGTTCCAAACTAAATATGTCTTCCAATAGAATTTCATTCTCCAGTACATCTGATACTTTTGCTCGTTGTCCGGTTTTGCGATTCTCCAAAACATCACTAAAATTAGCATAAATTAAAAAATATATATATAAATTTTTGTTTATCTTCCAATGAGACATTTGGATCTTGTTATTGTTATTTTCAGTGAAATTTAACTGATTTGAATAGATTTTAACAAAACAAGCATACTTTGTGATGGGTATAGAAACTTTCACGTTGAAAAAGCTTTGTGCCTCACGACGTAATCTCATAGTTGTATCCATTGCTGTCACGGTGGTTTCTTCATTACCAGCAAAGCATTGTACTGATATGTTGAACATTGAATGGTCACTCATGTTACTAAAAATAACATTTTTGAGCAAAACAAACAACCATAAAGATTTATTATAGCTATGATTTGGACATATTAAAAAAACAAAAAAAAAACAAAAAACAAACCAACAAGAAAAAAAGTAACAAATTAAAATTGGAGATTTAAAATTGGGATATGAATGTGGGAAACCTGATCGAATAGATGTTCCATTTGCTATTCAATAATTCAATTCGTTGAGAAAGTCTTTCAGCTAATGTATTTCGACCTGCTGCATTGCATATTGATATGGTTGGATAATTGATGGATACTTCAGCGACTCGTATAGCAGGATGTGCCCTAAAATTAATGGATTTATCTAAAAGATAAAATTCGAACATCGAAAATCGAAGTGAACATCTGGTATTTCCGGATATTCCGGAAAGTACAAATTCAGTGAAAAGAAGAAAGAAATAATTTGAAATTATAGCTTACTTAGTACATTGCGGATAACGGAACGTATAAGCATTCACAGGTCGTGGTCTCCATTGACCATCTGAAGAACAGGTGTAAAAAAGTGGTGGTTCAATGCTAAACTCATAACCATTTTCACATTCAATTGAACAGGCCTTATAACGTAATTGTGGACCCCATGATTCACAAGCTTGGACACCATGTAATGGATCTTGCAATGATGGACAAAATTCACGCGATACATGGATCTAAAAATCAAATAATTGGTGAATTTTAAAATATTTAATAGCTGGTCAAATTTAGCAATAAGAAATTGAATCAATAAATTATATGGGTAATATTTTTTACATCTATAGAATTTGAAACAATTCATTCTTTTACTAATTAGTGCGATTGAAATGGTTCAAAGTTTATATGAACTAACCTTAAAGACGCATTCAGCCATGGAATAACTGTCTTTGGCAAGATAAACCACAAGATATTCTCCCCACGTAAACACTTGTCCTGATTTTAGATTTCTTTTAACCTCCACATATCCATTCATTGATGTAAATATTGGTTCTTGCCAGGTGATATTTACCTGTAATTCGAAATTTTCAAGAAATTCAAAAAAAAAGAATAGAGATAAAATTATCTTAAAGAGTTAGAATTAGATAAAGAATTAGATAAAATTAAAATGAAATTCTTTTAAAACATAAATATAATTTTAATTCAGTTGGAAGATTTCAGACAATGTTCAAATAGTTTAAGCAATTAAAAAAAATCAAAAAAAAAATTTTTTTGGTATTTCATAAAATGCTACAGTATTAATGCCAACCTCTTTTTGATATGAGATGATAAAAATATCTGATGGACAACCAAGAACTTCTATTTTTTTAGCAGGCTGATGGCTATAATCTCGTCCACAAGTACTTTTCACCACTTTTTCAACTTTTCCAGAAAGTCTTGTATAACCAGCAAAACGTAAGATAAGATCATCATAGATAACCTACAAAAATAAGCAGAAATGAATAATGGGAACTTCATCATATGCCATATTATTGATAAGGCTATTAAATTATCAGCATATCATGAATTGAAATGATGACTTATTGTTTGGTAAAGTTTAATGAAATTTTGAACAAAACCATAGTATTACCTGTTGTAGTTGACACTGATGAACAATTGAGGGAATTTCAGCTTCAAAATCGATTGCACGCTGCCAAATATTTACTCGTGTTATTGATCCAACAAATTTTGGCTCACTTGAAAATTCATTTATTGGTTCACCAAGTGATATCCACGCACTAAAAACTACGAACATTATAATATTGTAACTATATACGTTCCCTTTCAATACTTTTAAATGCTTTTTTATTTTCTATTACTTCTTATTTATGAAAATTTCAATTTACGAATTAATCTTTCATATTAGAAATGATTGATTTTTGTTGAAGAACGAGATTAAAACAAACTTTATGTCTAAAATTTTGCCAGTACCATAGCCAATATCAGCATAAATCCGGACAGCATTCCAGATCAACGAATAAGAACCACCAGTTGATTGCCATGTTATCACTAAGTTATTCCAATTACCATCATTTAGTCGTTGAGTTGGTGGAAAGTGAAGATTTAATGGTGTTTCATCGTGTAAAAGATTCAAATGTATATTGTCAGCTGATATGCGCAATAATTCGCTTATTTTTGATGGATAATTACTTTCTCTAAAAATAATTTTTAAAAAAAAGGAAAAAACCAAGCAATTCATATCAAATAGTCACACATTTTGATACAAAATTTAAAATTTATAAGCAATCAGTTAACTATTTTAAAATTCATCATCAATCAATTAATTGCTATGCATATATGATCATGAATTAAACGATTTAAATATGAATTTTTTTTTTTAACTGAGAAATAATAATTGATTTGAAGTCAACTAGGTAATAATTACAATTAATTGATAATACAAATATTAAACCTGCTATTATATAGGGTTAAAACAGTTCCACGCGTTAATGGTACATCAAATTTGACCCAAAGCGAAATGGTAAAAGCAGATGATGTAAATTTGAATGGAACCGATAATGCTGCTGCAGCAGGCAATATTGGATCATAAAAATGGAAATCATAATCTTCATCAATAACCTTGTCGCAATTCAAACCGGTCATATTAAACGGGCATTGGCAGAAGAAACCACCAACCTATAATTTCACTAATTCGATTATTGTTCAACAGGCATTAACATTAATATGCAAAACAAGAAGTGAAAAAAGTAAGTTAATTTTGATAATTCAAATTTTAAAGCAAAGAAATACACACCTGATCGATACAGGTTGCTGCAAGAGGGCATGGCGAAGGTGAACAATCATTAATGTTTGTTTCACAATTTTGTCCGGTAAATCCTGAAAATGTCAAGTATTTAAAAACTCCTATTTATTTGGGACATTAAAATTGTTATTCTGAATTAATTTTTACATTTTGCAAAATTAATTTTCCTTATTACAAGTTCTGAATTTTACGAACTTACAAAATTACAAATTTTTAAGTTCTACCATAATATATATTAATTAATATTAGATAATTTGGAAGATTTAAGCAAATGAATGCAGTTTAATAGAATCAACCGGTAGTTTGCTTTCAAATTTTAAACGATTATATAATTTTACTAGTTTTATTAATAGATAAGCTTATCACTTTCCTACACTTAGCATTTAAATTAAAATGGAAACCTTTCTTTCCTTTTTTTAAATCCAAAAATTTTCAAACTACAAATAACTTATCCAAATATTGTCACCTACATCCTTATCAGCTTTGAAAGGTATAGTTATCAATTAAAAAATAATAATAATCCAAAAATGATTTAAACCTGGTTCACAGATGCATCTGTAATTGCCATCTTCAAGTAATTCACAAACAGCATCATTTTGACATACGCCTTCTTGACATGCATCTAATTCGTACTGACAGCCAGCACCGATGAAATCTGTAAAATTAATCAAATTTTCAAACACTTTTATCCGCAAAATTTTATAAATTAATTAATTAGCCTGTTTAAAAAGGCAAAAAAACTAATAAATTAGTTTGAAAAAAACTAATTTTATATTAAATTTGCTTTAAATAATTTTAGAACAACAGCTATTTATAAATTGTAACCATTTATAACACGAAAATTAAATTTAATTATATCATATTTCTAAACAACCTATTTATGTTCTCAGTATTTTCAATAAAATCGCGCATTAGACGCATTAATTTCAACATATTTCTCAAAACTTTGATAGGACATACTATTATTATAGGTACCTTTTGGACAGGTGCACTCCAAATGTGAACCAAAATCACCGCAAACACCACCATTATGACATGGTTCACCCAGGCAACGATTTGGTGCAATCTCGCAATCTTTCCCGCTAACACCTTCCGGACAAACACAGAAATAATCACCGACAAGATTAACACAATGTGCACCATTATGGCATGGATTTAATGAACATAATCCATCCTCTTCCTCACATTTATTACCTTTCCAGCCACGTGGACAATCACATCGGAACTGAGAACCGGTATCAACACATGTACCATTATTAAGACATGGTTCAGATGCACACTAAAATTTTTCTTTTTCGAAAAAAATTCTTTCTTTTTATTACAAGTTTGAAATTGAAATAGTTAAGTTTCAGTTTTATTTTTTTTTTAATTTCGAAGTCAAGAAACTTAAATTCATTCAGAGAAGAGAAATTCAAAAATATTAATAGTAAGAAAACTAAAAAAATATAATAATTACTTGATCAATATGAATTTCGCATAATTCTCCAGTATATCCATGACGACAGTGACATTTATAGCCATTAATGAAATCTTCACAGAGTTCGGTACCTTCTTGGGAGCACTTATGTAATAAATCACATTCATTTCTATTGTGCTCACAATGCGCACCTGAAAATGAATCAAATCAATGTCTTTTTCTTTTAAATTTCAAGTTGTAAACTTTCTTTAACACAAAAATATGAATTTTGTTAAATTGTATGCATTTAAATATTCCATATATTAATTAAATTATATGGTTATTTATCCAGAAATGAATCACATATTTTGTTTAATTATAAATCTTCAATTTTACCTAATTCATTTCAAAATTTGGCTTTATTTTAACAAGCTGATATTTTAAGTGACAATTAGAAATTTAAAATTTCTAATAAATTAATACCTTCAAAACCTAATGAACATTCACACATATATTGTGCTCCCTGATTTACACATGTCGCATTATTTCTGCATGGTGATGTGGCGCAATGATCGGTCATATGTTGGCAGAGAAAACCATGAAATCCTGGCGCACATTGACAAATGAAACCGTCAATCTGTATAAAATCAAACATGATATTTGTTAAAATCTAATTGTGAAAATTAGATTTAAAATAAAGTTATTTTCCAAATAATTAGCAATCTTAAAATTTAATTCCTAATTTAGTAACTATAAAAAGAATATATATATATATCATTTTTAATATTAATAATAATTAATAAAATAAGTCTAATTTAATTTCATATATTTTATTAATAGAAGCAGTTGAATAATTATCAAAAAAATATTAATAAAAATCATAAATATGAATTATTTTATCAAAAATCAACATTGCTATTGTTATTATTAGGAAAATTATTTAAATTTCAAAAAAATTCAACAAAAAAAAATACTAAATTTTAAACCTGATCTTTACATGTAGCACCATTTATACATGGATGTGAAGCGCATTGATCAATTTTAATATCACAAATTTCACCACTCCATCCTGGTTCACATATACAACGTTGTGTATGTAACATATCAACACATAATCCATTAATGCATGGATTTTGTGCGCAAAGGTTAAGTTTTTCATGACATCGTTTACCGGTAAATCCTGCTGGACATTCACAACGAAAATCATTAACAAGATCAGTGCATGTTGCATTCATTGCACATGGATTATCTGCACAATCATCTAAAAATGATGACGAAATTATTAATTAAAAATTATAAGTATTTCGTAAATTACTAATTATATAAATGAAATTTTGGAAAAGCATAAGATTAAACTAATAGTTAATCATAATATCATATATTATTTATTGTAATTTAACGAATTAATATTAATTATGAATTATTTAATCAAATTATTGAAAGGAAAAATAATTGACTAACCAATATTGATAGCACATGTTGGTCCAGTCCATCCTGGTAAACATTTGCATTTGAATCGTCCCAATTGTAATGGGACACAATCAGCACCATGTTTGCATGGATTATCCATAAAACATGGATCAACAATTTGTGAACAATCCGGACCAGTAAATCCGGTTCTGAAAATGTTTGAACAAATGCAAATTAGATGTTATAGAAGAGTTTCTTTTTTTTTTTTAACCATGGTAATTTAGTAATTTGACAAAAAAAAAAAAAAGAAAAAGAAAATAGAATAATAATAATGACGCTGTTCTAACCTACAAATACATTTTGTTGTTCCTAATCCAGGTAAATCATGACATACACCTCCATTTGGACAACTCATTCCGATACATTCATCTGGACCAAATTGACATCTGCTTCCCGTATAATCTTTAATTATAAATACATATATATATATATATATTAAATTG